TAAAGGATTGAATATAAACATTTTAAATTTTAAATTGCAATGTACAAAATTAAATCTTTCACAATCATAGTCTCCATAGTTCAAAAATAAAATATTTGAATCTTGAGTTGAAGCAACTCTTTCGCTAGAGCTTCGAGCACTTGCTTTTTGGGTTGGAGAATCCAAATGGATGAGCAAGATAGTTACATGTATTCAGTTTTCTTACATAAACTCAAAAAATAAGATAAAGGAGCCTATGAGTTAGATTGTGTCCGAGCCTATTATTTAGGATTTAACCTTTTGTTTAAGAGATTTATGAGGCTGGGATCTAAAAACTCTTTTTTACTTAAAATTCTCAATTTCAAGGCGATCCTAAATTTAAAGGGGGAGAACAAGCAGGTTGGACTTGTCCAACTCTTATTTAGAGTAAGTTTGGTTGATTTTTTGTATAACTTTATCCTAATTAAGATCTATATATGATGAGTGCATGCTTAGATACACATATACAAAATTTTAGTTGACTTTGGTCTCATGGACTTAGTAAGACTAAGTCATGCTTTCAAACTTAAAAAATATTTATAGAAATATTTACAAAGGTGGATGGTTAGATATAAAACTACTTAAACAAATAAGTGAGCATGGTATGTATGAGGTATGGGAAATAAGATAGGAAGAATTTCAACGAGGGCCCACAAAATGAAATTAATTATATGCAAGGACCGATACATTTTGAGACTCTTTCATGGGCCAATTAAATTTCTTGGTCTAATTACTAAAATACCCTTATTTTTTAAAAATAAAAAACCCACCATTGTCAGAGCTATCAACTGCTTGATAGATCACTATCATGATGGGGGTTAGACCTTAGTTTCTAGCTACCAGTTGGTGGAGTTACAAGTAGTTAACAGTGATTCAATGCAATAAAGGGGCCAAGGGATGATTTCCTTAAGTCCTTAGGTGTTGAAAAACAATGTTGCCATTGAACCACTAAACTCCCTTAGCTATATATAGCAAAATATAATATATTATAATTTGCTCTCAAGTACTTATGTGACTTGTTGCTAGTCTAAAATGTGTTATTATTCATATTCAAACAATCTCTTATAAATATTTAAATATAATTTGGTTATATATAAAAAAGTTATCAATTTTTTAAACATAACTTGTTAAATTTTTTTAACAACTTACTCCTTTAACATTAACATGCTATCGGTATTATGCTAAATAAAAAATATATATTTTAAATTTATTTTTCTAACATTTTCATGGGCTTTGGTTAATCACAGACACATTGTTGTTCATATACAAATAATTATTTATGTATATCTAAACATGACTTGTTCGTATATAAAACTCTAACTCCCTCCCTTCCTCTCAAGTAATTATTTAGATATGAATGACAATGCATTCATGAATAACTAGAGTCAATGAAAATACTTAAAAAATTAATTTATAACATGTATATATGTATATATGTTTTATTTAGGATAATATTGATAATACATCAATCTTGAAACAACAAGTTGTTAAAAAAAAAATAAACAAGTTAGGTTTAAAAAATTGATAATTTTTTTATGTGTGAATAAATTATGTTCTAATATTTACAACTGATTGGTTGGATATGACCAACTATGTGTCCATGATTAAATAAAGCACATGAAAATACTTAAAAAATAAATTTATAACACATATATTTTCATTTAGCATAATATTGATAACTTAGCAATATTGAAACAATAAGTTGTTAAAAACGTTGAACAAGTTAGATTTAAAGAATTAATTACTTTTTTAATGCATGAATAAATTATATTTAAATATTTACAAGTGATTGATCAAATACAAACAACAATATATTTATGAGTAACAAGTTATCATATAAATGCTTTAAAAACAAGTTATAATATATTATACATATATAACTAAAGGTGTTTTGTGATTTAGTGGCAATACTGCTTTTTAACACCTGAGAGCCAGAGGATTGCCTTTCTTGAATTGATCCACTGTCGACCACTTTCTGGTGTCGAAGGTCCGGCAACATATAGCCGATAACCTTCGGAGTGGTGGCGGCCTGTTCTTCAGCAATGGTGGTTTTTTTTTTTAAATATATAAACTAAAAGTATTTTAGTAATTGAGCCTGTAAAAGAATTATAAAATGTATTGAACCTTGCATGTGATAAATTTCATTTTGAGGGTCTTAATTGAAATTCTGCCAACAAGATGTGCCAACGAGCAACTGTACGGTGGAAAACGCCGCCCAAAATAAATTGGATACGTCAGTCCATGATATGGGGGAGATAACATGACATGGTGAAGTACATGTGCGTCCTTGTTGGGTCAGAAAGCCCATGTCCCTCATTGAAGATGCCCCCATTTCGGCCGCCCCACACCTTCTCCTTCACCTGTTTTGTTTACAACTCATCACGCCTCCTTTCTTGGGATCCAATCCACACATGCTGCCTTGTCAGAAGTTTCACTACTCTAATCTTTCTTGTAAGCTGCTTTAATTACTTTACCGGAATTAAACAATTTATTGAGTTATTAATTTTGTCTGAATATAAAATAAACATCTCACTTTACCTATATCTAACATAGAATATATTTTATATTTGCATTATATTCTCTCATATTTAAAATGACTTTATTATATATAGGTTTGAATATTATAAAAATTTAATTAATAACCCATCAAATAACTTATAACAATTACTTGCTCCAAACCACAATATAAGATATTGATAATTAATTTATGATTTTAAAAAATGTTGTTTAATTTCTTAAAAACAATTATATCTTTTTAATAATTATATTCTCATCTTTTGTTCAATAGAAACTCGAATCAATGTATTTATTATTTTTCTTGTAGGGATGTAATCTCAAATACGAACTCTCTAGCTAGGAAAGCTCATGTTCGTGACATGTGAGAGCTCTTACTGTGTCTTTGATCATCCATGCCTTTTCTAACAAAAAGAGGTGAATGGCGATGGATTGTTTTTTTCTCTTTGTACTTTGTATTAGTTTTTTCACGATTATGAATGAATTCAGTAGTTATTCAAAAAAAAAAAAATTCAATACATCAATTTTTTCAATGATCATTGGAGCGGTATATTGCTAGTAGTTAATAAACAAGTACCCCTATATACAGTGCTTCACTCTATTTAATTATCACCCAATAAATGGAGTTGTTGTAATCCCATTAAATTTATTCACCAACTTCTTTGTAATTTACCTTTACATCTCCCTGCTACATATCAATACTTTTTTGTCACCATTCATTGTTTGTGTGATCAATGCATGTATCAACATGTTTCCGTTACAATTTTCCCTTCTTGTTATATATTTTGAAATGCAAGTTTCAGGGCACAATTTATATTATATTTGTTTATTCAATCATTCTAGTTCCAGAAATAAAGTTTCCCTCCTTTTTTTTCCGAGCACTGTTGCATCTCTTGAAATACTTTGAAACAGAAACAGGAGATTTGATCCTGGTCCGTTGGGATTTGCTCCGACCAGGCACTAAAATAATAATAAAATAACATTGATTCATGCATGTCGTTGAAAGTTGCCCAATAATAAATTCGAATCGACGCTGTATGTCAGAGGGGAGTGATGGATGGTGTTAAAAGAAATTAATATTGTTTGTTAAATCAACCACGCATCATAAAAATCATAAAAAATTACACTGTATTAGGTAATATTTAATTGTAATAAAAAAGTGGATATCAACATGAAGCAATGGTTGAATGATTAACCTAACCCAGATCTGGATAATATTTGGCTGTAAAAATGAATCAGGAGCGCAGTGTTATTTGTCCTTGACACTATCAATTACTAAAAGTTATAACCTCTATTAATTATTCATGTGCCCCTCCTCCACGTCCTGCCCATTCCCACCTGTAAAATATCATCGCAAAACAAATACATTCTTCTTCTTCTTGATGATGATGATGATGATTATTATTATTATAGTATTAGTACTACTAATTGGGTTAATTAGTATTACTAAATATGATCATGTATCACCTTTAATTATTAGTAGTCCTTAATTTGATGGGACTTGTATTACACTCCTTCGGTTTTATTTATAAATTATTTTTATCAATTTTATCAATATCAATACAATAAAAGTACAAAGAATAAAATTTTATAAAATTACAAACATAACCCTCAAAAAGTAAATAAACTATATAATATTATTTTTTTGTTTCTCTCTCTCATATTTTTTAAGGATAGTTTAGGCATTTTATTTAAAATAAGATATCACTATTAATTCAATGACTTATAAAGTAAAACACTTTATTCTTTTAGAATGTGACCAGTGGACTGAAGGGAGTACCTTATAGCACTATAACAAAATTATTGCATTTTCCATCGCAAAATTCATGCACGTACATCTGAACCAACTTTCAAGCTAACTTGTTCCATAAGAATGAACTATATTTTATTTTAATTTTGTTGACAATTTGTGATTAATTAGTAAGATTTTAGATTTCAAATTAAAGAATAACATTACATATCTGCTTCCTGTTATATCTACATGTATTTTTTGTTCGGGAAAGTTATTGTCAGGTCCCATACAAAAAAATTAATTACTATAATGTCTATTAATAACTGAATTAAACTGCATTGATAATTGATTGTGTTGCACCTTGCAGTAATTAATTCTCTCATGTGAAACTTCAATATAATTGTTCTTTTTTGTTATTATAGGCAATATTGTTTTACTAATGTGATTTAAATATATGGTCTGTATATTTATATGTGTGTGTGTATATATATATAAATATTGAAAATTCTAAAACAAATATGAATAAAACGAAAAATTCCTTTGGCACGATATGATAATTTGTACACACGTATATGCACAAACATGCAATGCCGACAAAGAAACTCCATATAAATTTTATCCCAAAAATAACACCTTACAGTATTGTGCCATAATTAATGTTTCTGTTCTTCTCGACTCTATATATATTCGTGCAGAGCAGAACCCGGCCTTCAATTCACCATTAGGGTTTCTCTCTTACATCCTCCAGCTTGAGTTTCTACAAAAATAATGGCACCACCACAGCCTCCATCACCATCCTTCTGTACCCCATTCAAGTTCGTCAAACATGCTTATTATTTCATGCTCTCCAACAAAATGAACCTCTTGTTCGCTTCCCTGGCCTTCCTGGCTGGAGCTCCAGCTTGTCTCTACGTTCAACACTTACTTCAAACGCATCACTTGAACCTCCCTCCATTGTTACTCTTACCTTCATGCTCAGCCCTACTGTTCCTAGCCCACTACTACTTCATGAACAGATCAACACAAGTATACCTAGTCGACTTTTCGTGCTTCAAACCGGCACTGTCATGTCTGTGTAACAAGGAGATGCTTTTGGACAGGGCAGAGCGAGTGGGTTTCTTGTCAGAAGAGAGCTTGAAGCTTGTGAGGAAGATAGTGGACAGGTCTGGTTTGGGACCGGACACGTATGTGCCTGAGGCTTTGTTGGAGGTTCCTCCTAATCTGGCTCTGGTGGAGGCGAGGAAGGAGACAGAGACGGTGTTTTTCGGAGCAGTCGATGAACTTTTGGAGAAGACGGGAGTGGATGCGAGGGACATTGATATTCTTGTAGTGAACTGTAGTGTGTTTAATCCCACACCATCTCTCGCTGACATGGTTGTGAATCGTTACAAGTTGAGAGGGAATGTCTTGTGCTACAATCTCAGTGGAATGGGGTGCAGTGCTGGTGTTCTTGCCGTTGACCTTGCCAATCACCTCCTAAAGGTTCATTCTCTGGACTATTTCTCTTCATCCCTTACCCTCCCTCGCTTTCGGATTTAGGATGTTTGTTGTTCTCTACGCTATCTCCCTTGATCTTCTAAATCTCAGCATTTCATTTCATCTAGTGGTCAGACTAATTTTATCTAATTCCTTGAAACAAAACAGCAGACACCCAAAAACAAGACACCCCAAATCCCCTGCCCCCGTTGCTAGCTAGCTATAGATCAAGCTTTTCACTATTTGAAATATTTAATTCAGTAAAATATTTATTAAGATAGATATTTTAGCATATATTCCTTAAAATACACAAGCCTGTTCATCTAGCCCCGGGTTTTAGGTAAAAAATGCACCGGAACATCTGTCTGGCTATCATGAATTTCACTCACCAGCATGGTTCATGTATATATTTATGCAAGGATATACATATCTCTCCTGAAAACGGTAAAGAAAACCTGCAATAACGTACTTGAATAGTTTGGTGCTACATATTTTGCCATGGAATTGTTGTGCACGAGGTGGAATAAATTAATTAATGAATAGATATTGGATGACACTGGATTAACATGATATTTGGTAACAGGCTCATCCAAACTCTTACGCGTTGGTGCTGAGCACAGAGAACGGAATATCGAGCATGTACTGGGGCAACAACCCCTCTATGCTCCTCGTAAACTGTCTCTTCCGCATGGGTGGCTCCGCCGCCCTCCTCTCCTCCCACTCCTCCGACGCCCGCCGTTCCAAGTACCGTCTCCTCCACACCCTCCGGACCCACGTCGGTGCCGACGACAACAGCTACAACTGCGTCATGCAGCAAGAAGACGACGAGCGGAAAGTCGGCGTCGCCCTCTCCAAAGAACTCATGAACGTCGCCAGGGACGCCCTCAAAGTCCACATCACAAACCTCGGGCCCCTCGTCTTACCCGTCTCTGAGAAACTCAAGTTTCTGGTTAACTTGATTCAGAGGAAGGTGTTGAAGAGCAAGATTGAAGGGTACGTGCCAGATTTCAAACTGGCTTTTGAGCATTTCTGTATTCACACTGGTGGCAGGGCGGTTTTGGACAGAATGCAGAAGAGCTTGAATCTGGATGACTGGTACATGGAGCCCTCGAGGATGGCGTTATATAGGTTTGGAAACACGTCTTCTAGCTCTGTGTGGTATGAACTTGCTTATTGTGAGGCTAAGGGGAGGGTGAAGGAAGGTGACAGAGTGTGGCAGATGGCGTTTGGGTCTGGGTTTAAGTGTAACACTGCTGTGTGGGTGGCTCTGAAAACCATTGATCCTGCGTCTAAGAAGAGTCCGTGGAGGGATGAGATTCATAACTTTCCTGTTAAAGCAACCTCCTAATCACTCGGATCAATAGAACAAATGGGATATCTCAGTTTCTGGATACTGGATTGGTGATATAAATGCAGTTATGTGTTTTTCTTTGAAAGATTGAGATGCTTCAGATCTGAGAAAGGACGACGCGGCGTGGGGATCTAGGATATTAATTACGTACCAGTGGTGGAGACAGTTATAGCTAGTTATGGATTCGGAAGGAATTATTATGATATTATTGAAGTAGTTAATGCTATTATGACTATCTAAGAAGGTTGTTGTCAAAAAATCGAGCTACTTGAATGTCATTTCAGACTTCAGATCAGGAGCTTGCCTATTTGTGGTCAACTCTCTCTACTGTATCTCTCAGCTTTGATGAACTTAAATTATCGTTTCTCCGTCTTGTTTTTTGTCTCTTCGTCTCAGATCCTTTTCCTCCGTTCTCTGCCGCAACACTGACACACCTTTATTTTATTCATTTCTTCTTCGTTTTTTCATAATATCTGTCTTGCCTTTCACCCCCACCTCTCTCTATATATTTTGTTGTATTTTAGATATTACATTTTGTGTTGTGGCCTGGATGTCATAAGACTCTGTTTTAGAAGATGATTAAAAAAATGCTAATGATCTTCAATCTAATGGCATGTAAGCTCCTTTAGGTGGAAAGCCGCAAGTTTAATTTCACTTAACAATCTTAAACGGTTAGTGCTTGCCCAACAGATGATTAAAAAACGCAAGAACAATTTGAAGGAATTCTAGGCTTGTAGCAGATCTTCTTGGATATGGCTTGTCTTATTGGGTTGATCTGACCAAGCTTGACAGCTGAAAGACAGTTCAAAAGTGGCTGTAAATGGACTTGTGGCGTTGGTTGAACAAATTGGTGCCTTTTGGCGTAGTGTTAGCTGGTTCTTGATTATTTTCTCTATATGCATAAACACTAGAGTGCCTTCATTGGTTGAATGTATGCCTTTAATTTGAACATTGCAAATGCTTGTGTCCTCTTTGGAATATGCCTCAATACATATAACTGCGAAATAAAAATTTATCACCTATATTTCTGCTTCCGTGTTTCCCAGACAAATTTTCAAACGACCGTGCTTGAACAGGATCTATTCTATAGGGTCCTATCCTATCTATTCTTTAGACTCTAAAGGCTCCTACCTGCGTCTGAGACTTGAGGAGACGAGGCAAGTTTTCAAATAGTTCTGTAAACCTATTCTCTGTTTTGTTTTTTTGACTAGGTGGTTTGAAAAACCTATCTACAAACTGATTTCAGAAACATGCGAAAACAAAAAGAAAAAGCCATTAATTTTCATCGTTTTAAGAAGCCAAAAACTTACGCACTAGGTAGCTTCACCGAGACAATGAGGAACAAGAAAGAAAGGCAGAATTAAAATTTGCATCGCGACAAAATACAAATAAACAGAAGAAAAAATAAAGCAGAGATAGAAGGTTCGAGCAGCCGCGGCTAAACAGGGCTCAGGACAGTGGGGCGCACCAGGCCCAGGCTGCAGTGGAACGCCTAAGCAACACGTGATTTGGCAACGTATTCCTGGAACAATTTTTCATTCTACAGGTAAAAAAAAATTTAAAAAAAATAATAATAAAATCTCTTCAAATTATATAAATTGACTAAATAGTATTAGGAGTTGGCTTCACCTATGCTAAAATAGGAGTAATTGTAGGTTGGATCCCTAAAAATATTCCAAAAAACTTCTTTAGTAAAATAAAGAATAATTCATGTATTATCATGAAAAAAGCTGACGACCGTCTCATGAAAGAGGCACACCTAACACTGAATCGAAGCTCAAAGGGTGACTCCGTGCTATTATATGATAACATGCTGTAGCGCAATGCCCTCTTTTGAGAATAAATGTTTGTATTTGATTTATGTTTTGAAGGATGTAAATGCATTTTTTTCGTTTTCACTGTGCATTAATTGTTAGGTGATCAATTTGGGATGATTTTAAAATAAACTTTTTGTGTCCCAAACCTTTTAAAGTAAACATGTTCTTTATTTTCAATGATGTAATGTGATGATTCTAATATTATGAGAATATTGGGAGAGATTGCGCTTTAAATATTGTCAGGTGCTTGAGGTAGGTTTAGATATGGAAAAGTAGAGTTATGCTTTATATCTGAAGAAGTTACAGGCATCCTTTCTTCGTGTAATATTGTTTCATTCCTTTCTTTGTATAAAATAATCATAATTACACCATGGGTATAATGGTTATTTATATAAAATATTTGGTTCACACGTGAATACAAGCTATTTCTTTTAGTATACCTCGCATGTTCTAGGTTTAAATGTCATTAGCATGCTTTACATTCGTCAATATTATCTGATGCCTGCCGTATCTACAATTTAATTAATAAGTAGAGCGATACTTTCTAATATATATTTTTTGGATTGTTACACTTTCAATCTGTAAAAGATGAAGCACACATTTTCATATACTTGATTTCATTTAACCCGCTAAACTGAACATGTACTTGCATAACACGTTTTATTTTGTGCCTCCCAACATAACTATTGCCTCTTGAAAGATACTCACTTGGTAATCTCTTTTGCTTTATGATTCTCTTCTCCCAACCTGTGTCATTTTGATGATATATTATTTCAGCTTTTGATTGGCTTTTTCACCCCCTAAAAGTATTGAGAGGTCCATTAACTTTTCTTCACAAGATGTTTAGGCATGCAAGCCACTATCACTATCTTATTTTATCTGCCATCTTGTGCTTCACGTAAGAAAGGAAGTTTTTCATTATTTTTTTTTTTTAACTAAACGTGATAATGCCAATTTTAGTCTTAATGCAATAGGAAGAACTTTTTATTAGAGGAGGCAAACACCTTTACAAGGTAAAGTTATTTCAATATGTTTTATCAGTATACCTTATGTCAGAAGATGTTTGTGGATAGTGATTATTTAAATAATTGGTGAGCACTTAAAATATGTTCAAATGAAACTTCTTCTCTTGGGCCAAGCCTGCCTACAAATGTTAAAGTATTGAAAAAGCAAGTATTGATATCATACCATTATGTCTCATGGATGTTGGGGAGTTGCCATTTATTCAAACGATGTCACCGTGCGATGCATATAATCCGAATGCACAATGAGACTAGATTGGAAAAGAAAAGGTCAATGCTTAGTGTTGGGATGAGGGCGAGAAAAGGGCAATGCCTTAGTCAAGTAAAGTTAGCATAGAGCCATAGACATAACAATGGTGAATTGCAAGATGGATCACATACACAAAGGAGGAAGTTCACCCGGTTTACCCGCCAAACGAACGAACCAAGGCCATACCTAAAATATGTTAAATTAATAAAGATAGTTTTTTACCTTTTTTTTTTTGTCATACATTGTTGATATAATCAATTAAAAACATGTTACTGGAAAATGAATAAATTCGTAATGAACTCAATTTATTTCTCTTGTAAAACCGAAGCAAAAAATAAAATAAAAATCAGTGAGATAAATCTTTACCAACAAACCAAATTTTGTTGGCAAAAAATAATCTTCTTTGTGGAAGTTGTTGATAAATGAAGCATGCGTGTGTTTAAGTTAGTTTTAACATTGATCAAGATCAAATTGATCATTAGACTCATTGTTTCATATTACCCAATCGAATTTTTGTTGATCCAAGATTTATAGCAATTTTTAAGCGCTAATTTTTTTACTAATTTAATATTTTAGTGGTGTTTAAGTAACTAATTGAATCGTCTAAATAACAGCGTGCATGTGAAATGATCGTGATTATTTTCATTGTCATTTTAAATCCTCCTTTTCTATAATTTTTTGAAAGAATGATGTTTATAATTTAAAAAGCAAGCCTTTCACAGATTCGGATGATTTCTTCTCAGCTTTAAGATAAAGTTTTCAATAGTGATATCTTCAGCTAACGGATCAAGTATTTCAGAACATCTACAACAAGTTCCTCTCCTTATGAAAAGTAAACTTGAACTTTTGTCTAAAACTCTGCTTGAAGCATCTCCTGTTTGACTAGAAACTTCCGAAACTTTGCTAAAAGCTATTCAATAGATTCCATGTGATCGGTCTTTTTTTGATTCCAGGAAGTGATATTGAACTTTCATGACTAGACAAGTCCTTAAGCATCCCAGTAACTAATTAAAGGATAATATCCTCAAGAAGGTAAAGAGAAGCATTTTAAACTGGTTTTTCCTTTTTCATCATTGGGTTTCAAGACGATGCTTGAAGGGAAAGTCCGGTCCTTAAATTCAAGTTGAGATTTTAAAAACCTTATCCATTCCTCAGGATAAAAAGAAAAGATGACAGTTCAAAACATGGGAAGAGAGAAGGTGAAGACAAAAGAAAACTAGAAAAAAAAAAAATCATTTAATGTGTTTAGATGGATAGAAGAAAATAGAGAAGAAAAAATTAATTAAATATTATAATTACTATAATACCCTCGTGTCAAATAGAACATATTTCATGTAATTATCTATATAAAAAGAAATTGAAAGCATAAATTATACTAAAATTAACATCATCAAATTAATTTAAAATCAAATTAGTTATTAAAAAATGTATTTTTATGTTATTATATTTAACAATCAAATAATTTAGTAAAAATATATTATTTATACATTTAAAAAAAAATCAAAAGTTGGCACTTTTTTTAAAATTAAATATATTAAGAGCACAACAAAAAATGAAAGGATGTTGCTTTTACCACTCTCTCCATGCAGATATTGTCTAAGAAACTGATGTCCCAAGGTGCCCTTTTTTTAATTCCATTGATTCCATTCATATTCATAGTGATTGTGAATCGATATATGATTTTAATTGATGTCAAAGCAAAATATATAACTACTAGTTAGGTCTACTGTTTTGCAGCATTGCACGGGAGAGTAATTGTTTATAAGATAATAATAAATTTTTATTGAAAATTTTGATGATAAGCATAAAAGATAATTGTAAGTTTTTGTGCAAAGCATCATTTCAACATAAATATAGTAGTTTAATCCGTCTATGCTGGTTAAATTGATGATAGCCAATTTTCTAAATTATTTTGAGAATATAAAATGTTTTAAGTTATCATGATATATATTGGTGAGCATCTATTAATGTCAATTACTTGCCATTAACATTATCTCTAAATGGTTCTCAATTAAAATGTCATTATCTATCCAACTAACAAATTATGTATACTGAATAATATTGATATCTAATTAATTAATGCCCTTGTGCAATGCACAAGGCAGTACATCTTAAAGGCTAAACATAACTTGCATTAAATATTGATCTAGATCTGCATAACGTTGGTGCACGTGTGCCCAAGGTAGTACATCAATTATACTATCAATTTCTTGAAAACTTATACATTGTTTTCGCATGTCTGCTCGATCATAATCACTTTGACTACTTGATTTTAATATTTTCTAATTGTATTTTAATTTGTCCAAGTGATTTGTAATGTTAGTACAGATTTCTTTAATAGTTATAGGTGCCATTTGCTTAGTAGAAAGAAATAGAATGAAATAAATAAAAAAATAAGACATTCAAAAGAGATAAGTGATTATATTCATGAAGAGAAGGGGTAATTTAATTTATAAAATTAAGAATTATGATTCATGAGTTTTTTGGAGAGTGTGATAATTCTCACATTTATAGTATATATTAATAAATTTTATCATATTTATTATTGGGGGAAGCGTGATTTACTTTATTTTTATCTTTTTTTTTTATTTTCAATTCATTTCATTCTAGTAATTAAAGGAGACCATAATGATTTTGAATCTTGTCAAAGCATGATATTTGACTACTATTTATATCTATTCTTCTTGTAAATTGCTCGAAGGAGTAAATGCTAAGAAAACAATAGTAAGGTTTTAGTGAAAATAATGAGAGGAAGCACTAAACCCAGAAGACAATAGTAAGTTTTTGTGCAAACATCTCTTCAACACTAATAAAGTCATTATTAAATTAGTCTATATTATTTTATTAATGATTACTAATATAATAAATTATTGTAAGAACATAGATTATTTTAATTGGCATGAGTAGTTAATTATATTTAAAAGTTATAAGTAAATGTAACAAAATTAATTAGATACATTTGGATAAATAATGTTCACATAATGACATTGATATCAAATTGTGTAATGCTGTAGTAAATGCATCATGTATAATTAACTATGTTATATTCAGGCAAAAAATTAGTTAATTATGTTATATGATAACTAGCTTTTAATACAATTTTAGTTATCTAATCATTCTATACTTGACAATGTCACTTTGGTATATATATTTTTTTGAAAAGAAAGATGTGATTGCCAAAAAAAAAAAACTTTTGAAAAATATACTCAATTAATCATATTATAAGCTTTAAAACATGTTGGTGGAAAAAGTTAAATTAAAAATATATCTCCATTACATCCATGATTTCCATGTTAGTTCTAACAAATGATTAGCATAATTGATCTATTATATTTCAAATTTTTATAGAAAAGAAAGAAAAATTAATTACACAAATTTAAATGAAATATGTGCACGGAATGTTATTGATATATAATTAGTTAATGCTTCTCGTGCAATGCCGGCTCCTAGAATAATAAAACAAAAAGAACTTCAAATACGTCTTTAATATCATGTGAGCCAATGACCCACATATCATGTACTAAAGATACTGTAGCAGATACTACACTTATCTAAGCCAAATGGTCGAGAAAGTTATGCTTTCTGAGATCTCTCCAGCTCGCTTTTATAGTTACTTTCTTCTCATTTGTTGTTTTAACTCTTCGATGTGAGGCTTGATGCCTCAGCTGGCAAGCCTCAACACTTTCTTTTCTTGCCCTAGTTAGGGTAAATAACTTTGCTGTCACAAATACTATGTTTGATTTGAAATATTCATCACCTTGTGCAATCTAATTAAGATGAAGCACTTGGTTAAGCATCAAGAAACAAGTCAGAGAGCAGAGAAATATTCATCGCCTTAGTGGTTATACGTTTTCAATGCTATAACCACATGAGATTGCTACAATCTATGCCATTAGATTGGGTTTACGAGCTTGCGAAAACAGAGGAATTCAAAGTGTGAAAGTCTGTATTTAGAATGTCCAATGCTACAATCTCCTTGTTCGAGGTAATTTGATTGGCCACCCTTTCTTCGATATTGTACATGAAACCAGATTGCTACTCACACAGTTTGGGAATGCCTTCTTCTCTTTTTACAATGCTGATGATAATCATCACTTGGGTAATCTTATTAACATAGGACTTAGTACAAATAGTCTATTTTGGACTTTAATCATCAACTTCCTCCTAAAATAGAGGTAGTCAATGATGAGAGGAATTGATCTTTGTATGCTTTGTATATAGTTTTTTCCCGATGAAATATTGTTACACTTTTCATTAAAAAGAATTAGTATAACTCTCAACTTCTCTTAATGTGATTCCTTTCTTCATAAAGGGATTTATACTCTCATTTTCATCAAAAAATAAGTAATATGAAATATTTATTATGGATACATAAAACTCTAATCAGTTCTTATATAAATCATTTTTAATTATCTTGCAAAAAAAAACAAAAGTTAGTTACATTAATAATTTTTTAAAAAATTATTTTGTTTGTAATTTCTTTTAGAAAATCATATTCAAATAATACAATTAATACCCAACAACTTTTAAAAGTAACATTTGAAACAGTAAAACTTTTTTTTTTGAGGCGAGAAACATTTAAGTATATTGGGCGCATCATGTCATTTATAATTTATCTAATAAATATATAATATTTAAATAATATTAAATATAATTTAATTATAATATTAATAATAATAATAAAAAATATAAAAAATTAAATGTGCATTTTGTTATAAGAATAAAATTAATTAAAAAATATCACATAAAATTTTATATAAAATTACTTAAATCGTTTTAGTTAAATAAATCACAGATGATGTCCCGCACCTACTTGAGTAATTCTCGTCTGAGACTCGCACATTTATAAAGGAACACCGCGGGTCGACAGCAGAAACAAGGCAAGAGGTTTACATTCAATTGAAGAAACGACATCGTTTACGCGAAGTGCAGTTGATAGACATGATCGAAGGCGGAGTAATCTCCGAGAATAGGCGAGAAAGTCGTGTGATGAGACCGATGCCGATGGACTTGTTCGGAGAGATGGATGAGCAAGGATCGGCGATGGCCATGGACGTCGACGACGTTGATTCGCTCGATATTTTCGGCGAGGGGGTCATCGTCGCCGATAACAAGCTCGCCGACGCTGACTTTTTTAACAGCTTCGAGGACGACTTCGATGATACTGATATCAACTGACGTATCCCATCTTTTCCCAACTCTTTTACTACTCAATATGGTGCTTTTGGTTCGTTGAGTTGAGAATTTAGGGGTTCACTGTATTAGAGCCGAGCTATTTTGCTATTGATGGTGGACAAGGGAAATTTTAAACCTTTTCTTGGATTTTCTATACTTTGTATGATGTGGATTAATTTTACCAATATGATACATATCTTGATTTGTGTGATTTGCTCCTTTTGTGATCGAAGATACATATTTTTCCCCTCTGAATTCTGATTGATTGTGGTCTTTATGAAGGGACCTTGTTATATGCATTCGGGTACTGGAACTTGTGCAAAGACAAGTTTCCTTGCCAAATCGATTTTGCATTGTGTCTGACTAAGAATGCGACTACTTTCATATCCCGTATTAGACTATTTGAATATTTCTAGCTGTAGGGCGGAGATAGTAAGACTAAGGCATTAGGCTTTTAGGTCAAACTTACTGGAAAACGTAGACGTTAGGCGTCATAGAGATGATAGCAAATTTTGTTTAGACATTTCAGTATCAGTACATGACACCGTAACTTGTCATTCGATCTTGGAAAGTAACAAGCTTTATGTGCATATTTTCACGAGATCTTAAGAGGGGCGGGCCATTCAAGTGTTCATCTGCAAAACATTCCATATTTTAGAATTTTTTTATTTCATTTTAAAAATATTGAAAAAAATTAAAAATCCAACAAATTCATGCTCATGGCACTACGTAGGAGAAATGTTACAGTGAAAAAAAAGGGGGGGTCAATTCAGATTTAACGTTATAAGAATTAAATTGAAATATTTTTTCAATCCAAAGCAATGTGGCAGAAACTCCTTCACATGGATTATTGGCATGAAATCCAGCCAGAAAGCTAAAAGGCAAAAGGTAAACCTCTATGAATACAAGGTATTGCATTTCTGGATTTACTAAGATTGGTATTGGTTAATTTTTTCGCTGTACTGATAGTGTTTTCTTTTGCTGTTATTGCTGTTTCTGTTTTGCTGTTTTTTGTGAGTTTTGATGTGTTAGGCTGTATTAATAGGTCTTTTTTAGTGTTTCTTTTTTTTTTTTTTAAACCTTCGGCTATTGGTGCTTGTACTTAAATTTTTGATATTAATAAATGACTCTTTTTTTGGCCAAAAAAAAAAGTAAATCTCTCTGAATTAAATAGGGACATACACAAAGGTTGAGATTTAAATCTCCAACTACTTGTTTAAACAACGAGTCCTTAGCACGTCAATTTTAGTTTAAGGTATCGAATACATTCTCTCTCACACACACAAAATAAATGAAGCTAGGAAAGAATATTTGTACATTTTTTTGACATGTTCAGGGTTTGGTCTGTGTTTTATTCATTGTGAATTCTGATGTTCTCCCCCAATAGTTATAAGCCCTGCAACATAAGCAAGTGTACAATTAGAATTGTACAAGTTTTGAAACAAGTAAACATCAAATTGTTCTCAGTTGTGTCGTTCCACAAGTTCTGAAACATACTTTTCAATGGGCCATTCCAAACTTAAAGCACACAACATCAAAAGAATTTGTTCTGAGGCAAAAACATAACTGGGATATAAATTTTGATACTATAATAAGTTATCAATCACACCCACAATAAAAACGACCGCTTACATCAACAGAGTCAAACATAATAAATCCGGCAATGAATTAGGTGGTGATTAGATTCGCTCAATGAACACTAGCAACAAAAAGCCTTATTCTATTAGATAAAATCAGTTATAGTCTACATGGAGTACACGACGCTATTATGTCCTATTAATAACCAAGTCTTTAAAAGGCAATGAAATGCAGATGTCAACAGAAAAAAACATTATTGCCATCCAATGGAAAGCATGTGGTGCCTTTTTCATAACTTTGGTTTTTTGTAAAAGGAAAACAAAATGCATAGATAAAAATCAAAGGGTAACATACCAGTAGACGCTTGGTTATAAGCTCTCTGAAATGTTGAACTACGGCTTCAGCTCAACCAGTCCTTCTACCGTCTTAACAAGTAAACATCAAATTGGGTAACCCGCCTTGAAAGAGAGAAACTTTATTGGCTCCGAAATAGTTGTTCATCTGGCTGTGGACTTGATACAGTTTGGTAATTTGATTTCACACTCTAAAATAAAGTTATAAAGAAGGGTCAGCAAAATCAATATGTGACATGATTTTTCCTCTATTCAGTGGACATATATGATGAATGGCAATAGAAAAACAATCGACAAGATTGTTAAAGAGACAGTACCTCTAGTAACGTAATGTAATAGAAATCCTCCATGTGCTGCATAAGACCGCTCCCATCTCTTATTGAACGAAATATGTTGATTTCAGTTTGTAATAACCTCTCAATAAGCTCCTTCTCACCCTTCATCTGCATCCATCAAAAAAGAGGAATGAAACACTCGAGATGAATAACAAGCTTCTTTTATTATCTTCAATTTGTTTTTGGAAAGAGCAGTATACTAATAAATCAATTGGTTTGCTAATAAATTCAGGTATAATACTGATCAAAAATAGAAGTGAAACCTTCATTTAACTTTTTTTAATATTAGAATAAAAAAATAAATAATCTCAATAAATGTTGCCACATATCAAAATATTATTCTTTTTGTTCATCTTGTAGGTAAGTGATATGCATGTCTCTATATGTACTTGTGTGGCTAATAAACATTTGCGCAGAATTCAAATACGACGAAAAATTAAGATAACGATTACATACAAATTCACTGACTAGAACATCTGGTGTGGATTCCCCAACTATATCGCCTCGATATCCATCCCCAAGAATCTCCATATTTTCCTGGATAGCATGCATTAGATCCATCAGCAGAGACGTGAGGCATCAGAAATTCTCCATGTGATATGTAACTCCATAATTCCTCTAGTTAGTTTGAAGTGGACAACCAAGCATCAACACATCTATTGTCATGTTCTTCATAGAAATGTAAAATTACATTATACGATATCAAGGCCAAGCAATGTTGTGTAGAGAGAGAGAAGAATTCACCCAGCCATGAGATTGATCCAGATTTTCATAGTACTCTTTCAACATGACAAAATGAACTAAACCTAATTTAAACATCTAACCAACGTTTTGTCAAAGTTGCAAAGGTGTTGGAAAACAATAAGGTTCTGAAAGTTCAAGATCTTTGTGATTTTATGAGTCCCACAAACATTTATTTTCAAGAGAATGGCACTAAATGAGACATTAATTCCAAATAAAGGCGCACAATGTAGATTAAATTATTCTCAACGTCTGAATAAAATACATGACTGCTAATGGTCAAATCAATTAGCTCATAAAAATTGCCCCAAATGCATAACAAGATAAAGTGAGACAGCACAGAACATTTGATAACAAAATCAACATGTCACGGCAAAATAACGATATACATACAGATAATGCATTCTAGTAATCACTAACCATCGCATTTCTAAAATCTCCTGGAGCAAGATATACAGGTTGAGCCACATGACAATAACCCATCAACCGAGGTACTGTAGGTATAATGTCCCTGTGGTTTACAACTCTCCAGCTATCTTTAACTTTCTGCAAACGCATTGGCCAAGCTCTTACTGCTTTTGGAAATTCAAACAAAACAACCAAGATGTGGCTACTTCCAGTGAACTGTTGACAAAGTAAAAGCTTAGGCCAAACAGTTCACAGAAATTTCATTTCCAGTGAACTCTTGACGAAGGAAAAATAGATTAAGGGAGCATGGCTTGAATGGTCAACTGGACAGCATAGAATGTTTTATTTGGCACATTCTTATTCACACAAGATGAAAACTTGCATCATTGCATGCCATTTTGAACACACGCTATTTTCATTGATATGTCCGCACGTAACTGAAACCGTTCAACAGGAGTCAGTCACGTAATTTACATGCCGTTATGGTGTACTCAAGGTAAGGATGTTCACAGGTTGAGTTCAGTTTGGTTTTTATATTCTGGGACCTATTTAGTTTTTTTTCTTTAATTGGTTTGATTTGGTTTGGTTTTTGAGCAGTTTGGTTCATTTTGATTTAGGTATGGATCAAGTTTGAATTTTTTTAATAAGATATTTTTCTTAATCACTAACATATATTCATGTTTACAAATAATTTTTAACTATTAATTATAATTTGCAATGAAAAAATTTCTTGAGTACAAAAAAATATTTTTAACAATTAATTAGCATATTTAACTATAAAAAATTAATGGATTATCTTTAAAACACTGATTATAAAATTAAAAAATTATCTTAAATAATTATAAATAACATTTAGCTAATTGTAACTTATTTTTACTAATGATTTACAAATAACTAAACTTGAAAAAGTGCCAAAAAAAAAAACTTTGACATATTTATAAAAATATATATAACAAGACTTGGTTCTGTTTGGTTCAAATTTTCATGAGCAAAAACTTGAACCAAATTGAACCATTTTCCAAAAGAAAAACCAACTCAAACCTCATTTATAATTGATTTATGTCAGCTTGGTTTGGTTTGTGTTTATGTCAGTTTGGTTTGGTTTGTGTGATTGGTTTGGATTAGTTTTAGACACCCTAAACTCAAGGTGCTCATTGCTTAAGAAGACAGAGCCAATGAGATAGGAGTTTAGCATCCTGCGGCTGTCCTCAGAGTTCACACCCAAAAACAGTTGCAACACAAGATTGTGAATATGCTCATAATCTGCAGTATTAGACTTTTCCGCAGCTATTAACTTCTATAGCTGCCATAGCCCAGTGAAGGAAATTCAGTTCAGCATTCTATTCGTAGCAATGAAAAGAACTGTGTTATGAATATCAATCCAGTAATATAGTCTTGTCTTACCTCATTGTAAACCTCTGCAAATCTTCTGTTGCCAACCCTGGGAGAGCCAAAGTTATACATCGTCACATAAATTGCTCCCTTCCTGCAAAGCAGTACAAATAAAATAGTAAATACATACTCACTACCACAAATTTTAGATGGGCAGGCATAAATGAAGTGAAAAAAAATTGAACTTTCACATTGAAGCCTATATGGATTATGCAGTAATGATACACAAGGGCAGAAATATTTTCCATTGATACTGGGTAGGATAGGGGATTGCGCCAATCTGGTCCAACTCTGACAAATAGGGTGAATGAGGAAACTTAAACGTTTGTTTGTTAGAGCAGAGAGTAAGTTTAGAGAATAATGAATATAAGGGTGAGTATGGGATTTGAGAAAGGTAACGGCTTGT